TCAAAGATCTGATGGAAAAAAACTAACAACCAAGAGTACACCCAGAAATACTATACCTCTAAAATAGAGGAGAAATGATGAATTTCCAAGATGAGAAAAAAATGGAGAGAATTCGCCATCACCAGAATGGCCTTAAAAAAGATTCCCTTAAGGAAATCCTACACCTAGGAATTAAAGAAGGAAAACTACCATCATGAAGACACATGAAAGTATAAAACTCAATAGAAGAGCAGTAAATGAAAGAGAGTAAGATTTAGCTAGGGCTGGGGATTTAGCTCAGTGGTTCCAGCTCCTGCCTCGGAAGGGCAAGGGCCCAAGTTCAATTTCTGGTAGCAAAAAAAAAAAAAAAAAAAAAAAATTAGCTCAGTGGTGCTGCTGCCTGCCATGCAAGCACAGAGACCCAAGTTTGACCCCCAGTATCCCCACAAAAAAGAATAAAACCTTATCAAGAAAGAAAATCCATTAAACCATGGAAATAAACAAAAAGAGAGGAAGAGTAGAACAAAGAATACACAAAACACTGAAAGGAAATTAACAAAATGACAGAAGCAAATCTACATAGCATAGATAACCTGAATACAAATGGACTGAATTCTCAAATCAAAAGATATAAATTTAAAAATTTAAAAGACAATAATATGCTTCCTACAAAAATTCATGTCACTAGTAAGAACACACACAATGACAGTGATGGAATGGAAAAAGATAGTTCACAGAAATAGAAATGAAAAGCAACCTAAAGTAGCTATATCAGGTAAGATAGACTTTAAGTCTGTAAAAATAAAATAAAGAAGGAAACTATGCAATAATTAAAAGATCAATTAAAAAAGAGGGCACAAGAAGTATAAATGTATATACACCTAGTACCAGAGCACCCAGTTTTATAAAGCAAACATCATTAGATCTAAAGATAGAGATAGGATCCAATGCCATAGTAGTGAGAACTTCAACTCTCCAATTTCATCAATAGACAGATCATCCAGAAAGAAAAATCAACAAAGAAATGCTGAAGTTGAACTATATTATAGGCCAAATAGAAAGAATGTACATTTACAGAACATTTCATCCAACAGCTACAGAATATACATTCCTCTCATCAGTAATAAAACAGTCTTTAGAACAGACAATGTTAAGCCACAAAACAAAGCCTAACAAATCTAAAAAAATCTTAAATCTAAAAAATCTTATATCATATATGTATATATATGATATAAGATTTATATCATATATCATATATCCTCTGACCACAGTGAAATAAACTGGAAATCAATAATAAAATCTTCAGAAAATTTTCAAATACATGGAAACTAAACTATATGTTATTGAGTGAATGACAGATCAGCCAAAAAATCAAAAGGGAAAACAAAAAATGTCATGAAACAAAGGAAAATGAACATATCATATCAAAACCTGTATGATACAGCAAAAGCAGTATTGAGGGAAGTTTATAGTAATAAGTGGCTACATCAAGAGAAAGAAAGGAAGTTCTCAAATTAAAAAACACTAATTACATAAGTCACAATTAGAAAAGAACAAATCAAACTCAAAATTAGTAGATGGAAAGAAATAACAACTATAATAGGAAAACTAAATGAAATAGAGGTGAAAAAAAACCCACAAGACATCATTCACAAAAGGAAGAGTTTGTCAAAAAGATAAGCACATCCTAAAAATCTTTATCCAGACTAACCTAGGGGGGAACAAATATACAGGGAAGACTGAGCTAAATAAAACCAGAGATGAAAAAGGAGATAGTACAACTGATACTCCAGAAATACAAAGGATAGCTAAAGATTATTATGAACAACAATATGCTAAAAACTTGGGAAACCTATAAGAAATGAGAAATGCCTGGGCCAATATAACCTACTAATATTCAACAGGCCTATAATGAGTAACAATACGGAACAACAATAGAAAGTCTCCCAAAGAGGAAAAGCCTAAGACCAGATGGCTGCACTGCTTACTTCTACCGAACTTTTGAAGTGTGAATGTCAATTCTCCTTAAAATATTTCAAAAGATTAAGAAGGAAGGGACCCCTACAAACTCATTCTGCCAGATATGCATAACCCTGATACCAAACCTAAACAAGCACACAACAACTACAAAAAAATATATATATATCAATATTCCTGATGAATACAGATGCAAAATTTCTTTCTTTTATGATTCATTAAGTTTATTGGTACATTTTAGGTGTATAATACGATGACATTCATCATTGGGAATTTGTACCTGTACGTGATACGTCTTGGTTCTTATTTTTTCCCCATTCTCCTGCCTTCTCTTTAACCCTTCCACCCCTCCCTATTTACAAAGACTTTGTTCCTGTTTTTTCCTTTTCATGTATTTCATCCTGTCCTTTCCCCTGTCCTCCCATTTCCCCTTCCTCTTTGGAACTTTTCTTCCTATTTCACATTATCTATTATACATTTTGGTCCCAATTTACACTTTCAGTTTCTCACAGAGATGCAAATATTTTTAAGAAAATGCTGGCAACCCATCAAAAAGATCATTCACCATAAATAAGAGTGATAAAGCCCAGGGATTCAGGATGGTTTGACATACACAAATCACTAAAAGCAATACATTATATCAACAGAATGAGGGACAAATACCATATAATCACCTCAATAGATGCAGAAAAAGGGGTCAATAAAATTCAACAACCTTTCATGATGAAAACGTTGAACATATATAGAAGAAATGTATCCCAACACATCAAAGGCTACATAATGACAAACTCATAGCCATCATCATAATAAATGAGGAAAATTTGCAAGCATTTCCTCTGAGATTTAAGACAAAATGTGCACTTTTGCCACTCTTACTCAACATAATACTGGAAGTCTTATCAACAGCAATTAGGCAAAAGGAAGAAAAGCCACCCAAATACAAATGGAAGGGAGTGTTATGTCTTGTGTTTTGATGTCCCCCCAAAGCCTCATGCAGTCATAGGTGGCATTTCTTCTGTCAACAACTATTTTTTACGTAAATGCAGTGATCAAAAAATATGGTGAGTTTTTAAATTTAAAACTTTTTATTAAACGAAAGACATATTGCTTTTAATTTCCCTCAAAATACTCTCCTTGCTTTGAAAATATCCCATCATTCCCGCCACTTCCAGAAGCAGTTCTGGAATTCCTCTTTTCTGAACGTCTTTATGAAGTATGATTAGAAATATAGTGAACGCTGCTGCCAAGGGCCATCCAAATGGAAAAGCAGACTGGTAAAAATATGAGTGTATACTCATCCACTTTATTTATCAGATCAGGCGTCCCAACTTCTGTCCCTTCCCCAAAGTCAAAATCACCAAGAAAGGTAAACATTTTGAATGGATTCAGGACATCCAGGGAGCCATGACAGCACGATCACAAACATCCCTATAGGAGGACTTACAGAACTTCTTCAGAAAGAATGATGGGATAAGTGTGTTCAAATTGAGGAGGAACATCATTAGGGAAATTAATGGCAATGTCTTTTATTGTAATTTTTTTTCTGGTACCAGGAATTGAACTCAGGACCTTGAGCTTGCCAGGCAGGCAGTGTCACTGAGCTACTTTTCTGTATCAAAGTCTTGTATTGGGCCTGAAACTCCAACCGGGGTTGCCTCTATCCATGGTCTCAGCCTCCTGTTCCAAACACAGCATCAATGTATTGTGGTGAAGAGAAGACTGGACTTAGAGCAGCACTGCCTGCAGGCTGCCATACTGAATAGCCCTGCCCTTGACTTACAACTGTGGGCATTTTCCTTAGACTCCCTTAGCCACAGTTTTCTGATCTGCAAAGCAAGAATAATAATAACACCTGCTTTATGGAGGATTTATCAGAGTTAAATTCATAATTGTCACATTTAAACCTCTCTGATCCCGAAGAAAAGAGAGACAAAAAATAAGACCCAAAGTTTATCCTGCCATCTGGAAACCAGCTCACTAGGAAGGAGTTCATTAGAGAACTATAGTGTGTTCCTAACACTTGTCTTTGCCAGGTTCTCCATGCTCCTCAGTGGTCCCTTTGATAAATCCTCTCAATCTCTCTTGGAAGAGCCAGGAGTGGTGGTGCAAGCCTATAATCCCAGCACTCAGGAGGGTGAGGCAGGAGGATCACTGTCAGTTCGAGACCAGTCTGGGCTACATAGTGAGTTCCAGGTCAGTCTCAACTACATAGTGAGACCCTGTCTCAAAAAACAAACCAAACAAAACAAACAACAAACAAAAAAAAGCAATCTCTCTTGGAAAATAGCCTTGGCAGTTACCCAAGCTACTGCCTTGCATCCCTGGGCTCAGCCTGACCCTGGATTTCTTATCACCAGAATCAGGACCTGTGCGTTTGGGCACATCTTTGCATTTCACTTAGTAATATGCCAGCCCTTCATTATCAGCCCATTCCCTTATAAGCAGGGAAAAGACATGAAAAAAGAGCCTGTTACCAGCCTCCCCAGCTACCACCCAGCAGAGCCCTGGGAAGGGTACAGTTAGGGACATCCTGAGCTGGGCATTGTGGTGCATGCCTGTAATCCCAGCATTGGGGAGGCTGAGACAGGAGGACTACCATGAGTTCAAAGCCAGGACACCTCAGGAGGTATCCCTGCTCATATACACACTCTTTCCTCCACAACCTAGACTACATCATTTTAACATCAAGTTCCACTTCAAACGTGCTAACTCAGGTCTAAAGCTAGATGTCACCGAAGACATAAGTTACCCACTGTGCTGCTTCCTAGCTTTCCTAAACTAAGGAATGATTTTCCATTATCACTCACTCGTGCTAACTCAGGTCTAAAGCTAGATGTCACCGAAGACATAAGTTACCCACTGTGCTGCTTCCTAGCTTTCCTAAACTAAGGAATGATTTTCCATTATCACTCACTGCTTCCCACTTAGGGCTAAAATCATACCCAGCTTCCTACTCTAAATCAGGCCCAGGTTTCCCCTCCAAGAAAAATGTCTTCATTGAGAAGCTGCCCAGGGTCGCCTCATAGACCTGTCCTCTTCCTCAGGTACTCCATGGTGTCTGACGCAGAAACCGAGAGCATCTTCATGGAGCCCATTCACCTCTCCTCCGCTGTTGCAGCCAAACGGATCATCAGTGAAGGTAGTACAGTCAGATCTGCAGGTGGGCAGGCCCGGGATCACCAGGAGATCCTTGTGGGGAGCTCCCTGAAAGGGGTAAATGTGCTTCTCCAGCACTGCCCATCTCTTTAAGAAAAGCAGATCTCATAAAGGCAGTCCCACCAACCCCACCTCATCAACTTTGGTGACAAAGATGTGGGCATCACCGTGCACCAGGGTCAACAGTTCTCTAGTTGACCACTCGGAGGCAACGCCAGTCGGCTCCCAAGACCTCCCTTTCAGTTGTTTCTTTAACTTTAAGGGTGGTGAGTGGGGTGATTGATGGTAGAGAGGCAAAGCTGAGAGCACAAGAAATGGCTAGGAACACTCAGTGAGCTCCAGTCAAGGGGATATTTAGATTTAGATCTGCATCCACTGTGCTTAAATGTGGTTTTCAAACTACAGTATATATGGGAAGGAAGTAAATAAAAGAGGGGGTTGAAAGCCCTGTTCGTACTGACACTGGACATTTTGGAGTAGATGACCTGCTATATTCATTCAAGACACTCATTCTGATTGGAAGGATTCTTTTTTCTAGTAAATAACCTTTCACAGTTTCACTCCTGCCCTTCCTCCTCTCATTTCTCTGGGTGGCCTTTTACACTTCTGGTGGGGTGAGACAGAATAGGGTAACCAGAGCTGTTGAAACGAGGCTCCTGAGGTCTTTGGGCTGGATCTGGCACCCACCGCTGGTGGCCACAGTTCCTTCCTTCGTCTTTTGACCTGAGAAGCAGCCATGTTACTCTTAGTCTGCCCTAACCCCAGGACTGTCCCGGTTCCCTGTGGGTCCCCACTAAAGGCCCTGGATGATATTCCAAGTCTACACAGCAAGCACCTAGAGAACCAGAAACTGCTGTTGCCTGCTGCCGTGGGCACTCAGAAGGGGCCTGTCTTCTCAAAACTCTCTCTCTGCTTCTAGTTTCTTCCTTTCTTTTTCCACCCTACTTGAGGTCTCTGTTGTGCTGCTCCAAGCCAGGCCAAGGTGCCTAGACCCAGGCGGTGGCTCTCTGAACTTCTCCCAGAATCACACTAGCATCAAAAGGTCATTCTTTCTTTTCATGATCGGGAATTTTCCTAATCCTCCACCCTGCATGGTCTGTGCTCTGTGCCTCTCTCCTTTGGATAGTCTCCAGGCTAAAGGTCTTGATAAGTAAAAGCCTAGCTTCCGGAATTGTTGAGGAACCATTTTTCTCCTCTTGAAAGTCTATAGAACGTTGTAGATATTCAAGGTGTAGTCTGAAACCACAGGGTGAGCAATGCCTTTTGAAATTCTAGATCTTGTCTATCTCTCCTTCTCTGGGGCATTACACTTAAATTTCATTAGCTCTCATGGCTGAAGAGCTGTGAGGGGAAGGAAAACTATATATTACAGCAAAAGGAAAATACTCTCTAGTAATCAGGAGGATAAAAGTTCTATGTTAAGGAACTCTCAGTTCTCAGGAAAATCTGCACATTTCCCCTGGCTGGGAGAAGGTGGGAAAAAGTGCGTAGGCTTCACTTTGTTCTGAAGAATTCTCAGATAATCACAACAAACAGGAGGATTGATAGGAAGGAAGTGTGAACTAGAGGCCTAAGGAAAGAAAGAGTCGCCAGTGGGGATGAAGGGCTAGGGCATTTGGTTTTAAATGGAAAAGGGAAGAAATCAAAACAGCACCCTGATCTAGGAGTAGCCGAGGAGGCATGGGGAAGTCCTATTTTTTACCTGTGGGAAAGGAAAGACATCTATGTAGGTTAGGAAAGAAGGGCTTTAAAATTTGTGATACAAGGCCCCAGGGTAGCTGGGGGAGAAAACTGGGTAGTGGAGAAAATAGGAACCCTTTATCTATTTTTAAACAAAATAGAGCTGGGGGATTGCAGAGGTCTTCTTTCTGTTTTTGAAATGGAGATCAGAGTGTTTGGAGCTAACACCTGAGAGGGGGTGGCAATGAGGACCAGATGCTTTAGAGGAGGGACAGGAGAAAGGAGGAGCTTTAGGAATGGAACCCTGAGCCCGGATCTCAGAGCTACCTGAGGTGCTAGGCCAAGTCCATCTTTCAAATGTAGCCATGCTGGTCCTGTAGCTCCCTGCCCAGATGGTGCTGGCAAGAGGTTATGGCCACGACAGAGAACATACTTTTCTTCTTTTTTCTCTCTTTATTCAATATTTTTGGTAACTGAGAGAGTGAAGGTTTTGCTTTCCCCTATTCTTGTACTTCTTAGTAAAAGGAAACACCTCATTTTCTCCTCAAATTTGATAAAGGTGAGGAAATATGTTTTTAGGAGGAGATAAAGGTCCTCTCAGATACAAACCAGAATTTGAGTTCATTGGGAATTTGAGCTTTTCTGACCAGCTGTCAGAAAGGTCCTGAGTCCTGGTTTGAAACTGACAGGGGAGCTCAAGGCAAACTTTTGCACCTGTCTTGGAGCAGGGAGACTGAGAATCACAGCTGTTCAGCTCTAGTGTGGAGAAGCAGACAATAAACAAAGAAAACAAGAAAATTAAGTGGCTAGTAGAAGGTAACATTGCATAAATGACTGCTGAACTTTTACTTTTCTCAGGATTATTTGCATTCCTTATATAAGCAACTCAGGCTACTAGTGCAAATTGTTATGAAAGAAGATCATTTATTCATTTGGTAAATACTTCTGAGCATCATTGTACTCTGCAGTGTGGGAGTTATAAACATTGTCTTAGTTACTTTTCTCCTTGCTGAAACAAAATACCCAACACCCCAAGTTAAAGGAGGGAAGGTTTACTTAGCTCACAGTTTGTAGAGGTTTCAGTCCATAATCATCTGGCTCCAAGGCAGGGAGCATGGCAGGCAGGCATGGCAGAGAATAAATAGTTCATGATGGGTAGAAGGCAGCAAAGCAAGCAAGCAAGGGACAAGACAAGTCTCTTCCTGTCCTGTATATTGCATCCAGGCTACTAGGATTATGGAGGCACCAAACCAATCAGTGAACTGATTTAGTAATCGTCCCCTCTTAATCCCAGCACCCTTAATCCTAGTACTGCGACATGAAGCAATCACACACTCCAGATTCAACCACCCTGAAAAAGCCCCACCAGTGACTGCATGAGGTTTTGGGAGCTATTTAGATACAACCCACAACAAAGATGAGACACACACCTAATATGCAAGGACCTGGCTCTTTACAAATGTGTTAGTGAACTTTAGACAAAGGAGTGAGTCAAGGAAACTGGCTAGATTTCCCTTCCTTCACATGCATCTGCAGCTGATTCTGGCACCAAGTGTCCAGGCCTATGTTGTTCATCCCAAGACCTTATTAGGTCCTTCCTGGCAGATCCTGCTGGCATTCTGTCCATGTCCAGAGTGCTTGCAGTGACCTAGCCTACAGAAAGCTCTCCCACAGGACAGGGAAAGCCTTGGTGCTCCTAACTCTCCTATGCAAATGCCACCTGTTCCCTCTAGAACTCAAGCCTCAGGGGCTCCCAGCAGACATGGAATGTCCAGGCATGTTGGAGTCCGCCGAGCAGCTGCTGATGGAGGACCTGTACAACCGTGTGAAGGAGAAGATGAACGACACCAGTCTGTACAATACCCCTTGTGTTCTGGATCTGCAGCGGGCCCTGGTCCAGGATCGCCAAGAGGCCCCCCGGAACGAGGTGGATGAAGTCTGGCCCAACGTCTTCATAGCTGAGAAGTAAGTCTGACTGCTGGGGAATATGATGCTTTGTCCTACACCTCTGGTTAGTGCCCAAGGGAATCTATACTCCCTCAGTGTTCGCCAAAGGCTGCCATAACACCATCATCCAACAAATGAAGGCTGCATGACCGCTTAGCCTACCCTGGCCTTGGGGGAGGACTCTCCACACACCTGCACACAGAGATGTCCACCGAAAGGGATGCTCAGCTCTGCCTCCCAACGTCAGGACTCTGTGTTATCGCCTTGGTCTCTACCTGACACACTCTTCTCACCTCACAATCTCTATCATCACTGGAATGGATGGAGCATGGGTAGCTGTTGACAACAGTGACATGCACTTGTATTTACCAACATACGAAAATGTGCACAATATACTAGGAGGAAAATTAGACTACAAAAAATCACTGTATATATACAGTATACACTAATCAAGCAATATCTATGGTGTGGGTTGCAATAAAATATTAGAAAGAAAGGTGATAGACTGTTCAGTGAGTATCTCTCTCCGGGAGGGGTTTTATAAGTGGTTTTTATTTGTTCCTTCAGTTTTCTTTTTAATGATGCAGGTTGTATAATCAGAAAACTATTATATTTTAAAAGTTTATCAGTAGTTTCCAGAATAAAAACAACTAATTCCCTTTCTGTTCCTTCAGGCTCTTGCCAGTGCATAATTGGTACCAGTAGGTTAATTTGTGAAACTAATTTTTGTTCATCCATTGACTACTTAATGAGAGGTAATTACCTCCCAGTATAATTACCCATTTATCCAGAAGCAGAGGAGGGAATTTGGAAAAGCAGCTTTGGAAATCTATCTTGTGTTCTGTAGCAGAGTAACCAGTTGCCTAGAACCTGATTCCCAGAGGTGGGCACCAAGTCCCAGGGGATCTTTAAATATCTCTGTAGCTCCAGAAGTGTCACTTTGTTTTCACCAGGGACACCAGGCATCCCCAGATAGGCCCAACTGAAGTCCTCTCTGCTCCTTCTTTGGCAGCCCTGTCCTCAGGGCCTCTTCAATTTGAGCTCCATTTATGCAGCTGCAGCAAAAAAAGAGCTCTGAACCAGAAATCAAAAACAGCAGGTCTTGTCTTTTTCTCTCTTCGCAGTCTTGAGTAGCTATAAAAGTGTGTGGATTCATTTTTATAATCTTCAAATGGGAATAAAAATAGTGTCCTTTCTACCTCTTAAGTTTACTGTAAGGATAAAATAAAATAATGACATGATAGGATTTTGAAAAATACAGCATACACTTACAAGGTGATAACATACTTAATTTCATTTTGTTTGTTTGTTTGCCATATTTGGCATTCCCAAGGCATGGTATCTTATCAGAGGTCTCTCAACCACCCAAAAGTTTTATTGCATACTAGTCTTGATCTCCTCTTCATCCTGCCCTTTTCCAACCATCTCTTCTCCCTCTCATGCTGTGGTCAGGTCATGACTCCTTTTTATGAAGGCATTTGCAGTTAACCTGACCCTGGGCCCGAGAAGGCAGCCTCCAACCATGCACCCTCCTGATCCAGGAAGCATGTTTCTTCATCACAGTGGTAATGAGCCTTTCTAGGCCTGATTCTGGCCAACTTGTTCCTGATTCTTCCCCCAGGAGTGTGGCTGTGAACAAGGGCAGGATGAAGAGGCTTGGTATCACCCACATCCTGAATGCTGCACATGGCACTGGTGTCTACACGGGCCCAGAATTCTACACCGGCCTGGAGATCCAGTACCTGGGCATGGAGGTGGATGACTTTCCAGAGGTGGACATCTCTCAACATTTCCGGAAGGCTGCTGAGTTCCTAGATGAAGCACTGCTAACTTACAGAGGTGAGGGGGCTCTGTTGGCTCCAGGCTGTTGAGTTTCATGGTGAGGAGAAGGAGGAAGCAATGCCAGGGCTGTTAGGAAAACCTCCTGGTTATCTGGAGGAAATCTGCCTTATGGTGGTGGTGTTCTCTAAAGAGAGAAAGGGCGACCATGCAACTGGTATGTAATAATTGAAGGCCTGATGTGTACCAGGTATTATGGCAATACTGTACCAGGTATTATCACTGCAATGAGGGGAAAGGACCATTTTTAAGAAACATGTCAGGTGGTGGAAAGTGCCCAACAGAGGTTAACTAGGTCAATGTGCTGACTGATTCCCTGGAGAGCTGGTCAGGGAAAGCCTTTTTGAGGATGGGACATTCAAGCCAAGGTACAAGAAGGAGCCAGCCAGAGGAGAAGGGGAAAGAGAGCTTTCTCCGCCAAGGGAACTGCTAGTGTGAAGACCCTGGGGGGAGGAAGCTTGGTGCTCAGGAATCTTAAGATAGTGGGAAGCGCTGAGTGGCAGGGGCCGTATAGGAAGTGAGTCCAGGGGAAAACTCAAAGTTGTTGTGTCTGAGAAGTGACTCTCTCTGCCTTGGAGAATAAGCAGCCTACAGGGAGAGGCAGAGAGAGGAGCACTACTGCTCTGGTCCAAATAAAAGGCATCGACACCAGTGTCCAAAGTCATAGGGGAGCCCGGTTCCTCCCGCCTCTCACATGGAGGCTGGGTAATGGGTAGGATTTGCTGTCCAGAAACCTGGGCTTGAGTCCAGGCTTTCTTACCCCTGGCTTATACCATGTGACCATCAGGTATTTTTCTTATCTTAAGGAACCTCAGTTCCCCTTATACACAGAACAAAGATGGAATCTAATCCCAAAGCTCTTGTGAGGAATATAAATTTTGAATACTTACAAAAGAGCTTATTTAGCACAACACCTGGGACAAGATAAATTTTTAAAAAGGCATAGTCATTATTATAAATGATTTTTCTCCTATTCTGAGGATTGTGTCTGGGGAAACTCCATCCCTGAGCTCCATCCCCAGTCCTTTTTATTTGGAGATGAAGTCTTGCTAAGTTACCCCAGTGAGGCTTGAACTTTAGATCCTTCTGCTTCAGCCTCCCTGAGTGCTGGGATTACAGGCATTAGCCACAACCCCTGCCACATGATAAATGCTTAAAAAGTCATAGTCATACTACTATGACTACTATTACTAATAATAATGATAATGATGATGATGGTAATAATAATACTAATGGTGAGGTAATAATAATAATGTAAATGAGTCCTGGGAAGGGCATTGCCTGTCACTACCAATGGCCAGGCTGGGTAACTTCTAATGGAACACACACACACACACACACACAATATAGATATACGATATATAATGTATATATAAATGTATAATGTATCTACCTATCTATCTATATATATAGATATATATATCTATTATATATAGAT